CTGGGTGTGGTGGGGAGAAGGCTGAGAGGGTTAGAGACAGGGAAGTGGAGGGCCTGCTGGAATCTTAGGTATGTAGGGCATTTCTGTTGGTGGGGACCCCTACTCGAAGAGAAACAATGGGGTGCCACCCATTTGGAGGCCAGTATTCAGCACAAGCTCACACACAGGGAGATTCGCAGGTACCAAGGCCACACACTCACCCCATGACAGAGTAGATAGTTGCCCACACAAGCAATATGACTTTGTGGGGTGGGCACCAAGACAGCTTCCTCCCATCCTCACACCAACCGGATGTCTGATGATGAGTGAACATGCAAATCAGGATGGGTCCCAGGAGGGGCAAACCCACGAAGACAGGCCCTTGAAGCAGCATTCACCGCAGAGAGGCAAAATCTGGGGAGGCAGAGAGCATGCTGGGATGAGCCTTCCTCTGTCCCCCCACCTCCTGGGCCTTCAAACCCGAGGATTCCCTAGCCAGAGTTCCTCACAGGAGGTCCCCTCTCCAGCCACCACCCCCTTGCCATTCTCTGGCATCCACGCCTTATGTTCCCCACATTCACTACTTGCTCAGCCCCGGGGAGCACGGCTCAGCATCTGTCTTTGCTTTGAGTCAAAGACTTCCTTCTCTCCAGGGGCCATCTGACTCCTGGAAGTCAGGACCAGGCTTGATCTTCATCTCCCACCACAGGCAGCTCCTGGCCAGGCAGATAGCCAGCCTGTAGGGTCTCAAGGACCGCGCCTCACTGCAGCTGACAGTGGCATCCTGGAGGGAGTGGATGAGCCTTGCTCTCGAGTCACAAGGCTGGACTTAGCTGGGGCCATTTCTTTGATTTTCTGTCAGTGCGTTGTCTGAGGTGAACAGATGTTTGTCTGTGTCTCCCCAGGAAAAGTCACATGGCCTGAGTGGAGGAGCCAGGCATTGCTGTGCCGGCTCTAACCACCCCTCCACCCCCCATCCCCCACCCCCATTACCTCACTCATCTTATCTCACTGCACCAGACTGGAGCACTCAAGAGGCCCACCCAGGCTGCTCTGCCCAACTTCAGGCATGGCCAACGGACGCTGTGGATCCCCTTCTCTGAAGCATTTCTTCTCACCTGCTCCTGGCGCCTCAGAGATGCGGTCCGTGTCTCCCCATTCCCATAGGCCTGGTCTGCAAACACAGGTGTCCGGATTTCTTGTGACTTGACTCCCAAGGACCCATCAGCCTGGCCTCTGATGGAAAACCGTCATTCCCATTTGCATGTTGCTGTCTTTGTATGTTGTTTTCATGAGGGCCAGGGGTTAGACCCTCCTCCAACCAAAGCCCAGGTCAATGTCAGTCTTCCCACCTGCTCTTGCTATTTCAGCTTCTAAGACCAATGGAATTTGACAGAAATTAAAATCTGATTGTTTTCAGTGTCCTGGAGTGACCGACAGTGCTGCCCTTTCCTGTGGGTCAAGGACAAGTTCTGGAGACTCCTGGGACAGGGCTGAGCTTCATGCATGTGTGCCTTTTTCTGTTTGGTTCTCCCGGCTTCTCAGGTCTACTTCCCGTCTCCCTGTCTCAGTTTTTCCTAGTTTTTAATCCGGTGCTGGAGGTCTCCCTCACTGACCATGGCCATGCTGCCTTCTGTTCCCAGGCCTCCCTCACTTACCTCAGGCACACACCTCCCAGGCCGGCTGCCTGATCATCTGTGATGAGTGCAGGGCGGAAGAGTGAGGGACTGGAGAGGGGTGGAGCTGGGCTCCTGCCCTCTGCCTTTCTCAGATGGAAAGGGTGGTAACGTTGCTGGGGAGTCTCTGCTGTGGTTTGCCTGAGGGCTCCTGTCCATACACCCACACCTTGGTCTCTGTGTGTGCGTGTGTGTGTGTGTGTGTGTGTGTGTGTGTGTGTGTGTGTGTGTGATATTAGGGATTAAATGAACCCAGGGCTCATGCCTGCTATCAAGCACTCTACCACTGAGCTGCTCTGATCCTCTTCCCCTCCCTTTGTCCCTTGCCTCAGCTCCTTCTTGATACAGGGGTCTTTGGAGGAGACCCCCTTGGTGGACTAGTTCGGAGTCTGACATCTGACCTTCTCTAACAGCCCAGGCCTACTGGTACCCATTGTCTCTGTACCTGTGACCCAGCTCTTTGTCCCTGGGGATGATAAGGGCCCCCAGATGTCCCTAGAGCTCTTCTGGAACCAGATTGTCTCCAAGTGAGGTAAGCACCAGCTTTGGAAATGAGTTCAGGATCCATGAACACAGTCCCCGATTACAGCCTCTTGGTTGGCCTGTTTCCGCCTGGCTGGGAACTAGAGTTAGGCATGTCTTCCCAACCCCCAAGCACTTGGTGTCTCAGAGATGAAAGCAGCAAGCAGTAGAGGTGGGTGGGGGATCTGGGTAGGAGGGGCCTGGTGCTTCCTCCCAGCCACCCCGAAAAGGGACAGGGGAGAGTGTCCCTGTCTGCTGGCAAGGCCCAGTCTTCTGTGTGACTCAGACAGCTTTGTGTAACGAAGGCAGCTGCCTCTCTGTGTGTCCCCTGTCAGTTCTGAGTGCCCTTCCTTGTGTCTCTGTGGGCTGGATGCTCTCCAGGGTCCCTGGTGACACCCACTGGAGCTCCTGGTGGTGTGGTGGTGTGTTTGTCTGTCTCACTCTGCTGCCCAGGAATGGAAGCAGAGGGGAGGGGGTGGGGGGGGAGGGAGAGAGAGAGAGAGAGAGAGAGAGAGAGAGAGAGAGGTGGGGCTAGAGAATAATGAACTAAAAGAGGAAAGACAAGGAAGCTATTTCGGTATATTCTTTTATGTGTGCATATGTGCACATGTGTGTGCAGGTGCGTGTGTGTGCATGTGGATGAGGGGTATGCTATGTGCACACGGAGGCCAGAGGATGGCCTTCAGTGCCAGCTCTCTCAGTTGGAGTCCACTATTTTATTTTCATTTGAGGTAGGCTCTTTCCCTGACCTGGAGCTGACCAAGTCGGCTGGGTTGGCTGGCCAGTTGGCCCAGGGTTCCATCTGCCTCTACCTCCCCAGCTCTAGGGTGTCTTTTATGTGGATTCAAGCCTTTGAACTCGGTCCTTGCTCTTGCAACATAAACACTGTACTGACTGAGCCCTCTTCCCAGCCATCTCTCTCTCTCTCTCTCTCTCTCTCTCTCTCTCTCTCTCTCTCTCTCTTTCTCTCTCTCTAATTGTATTTAGGGGCTGGAGAGACAGTTCAGTGGTTAACAGAACTTGTGGCTCTTGTAGAGGACCTGAACTCAGTCCCCAGCACCCACACCAAGTTCCTCACAGCAGCCTATAACCCCAGCTTCGGGGGATCTGATGCTCTCTTCTGGTCTGAAGGCTCCCATACACAGGTGGCATGCACTCACACAGACACATACATATAAATAAAACATAAAATAAAACAAAAGCAAACATAAAACACATTCACATAAATAAAAATAAAAAAATTAAAAATTGTTTTTTTATTTTTGATTGATGCACGGTAACTACATATTTATTGGGTATAATGCAAGATGTCTTGATACATGGATACATTTTGTAATGATCAAATCAAAGTAATTAGCATATTAATTTCCTCAAACATTTATTATTGAAGTTGTGAGAACAGTCATAATCCTGTTTTCTGACTGTTTCAAAATGCATGGCACATTATGGTCGACTGTAGGCACACGGTTGTACTGCAGTCTCACAGAGCCCCGGAACTTAGTCTATCAAACTGCAATCCATCGACCAGCATCTCCTGCCCTCTGCTCCCAGCTCTTCCCGGACTTTCATATCTGTATTCCCATGTTTATTGCAGCGCTGTTCACAAAAGCCAAGATACGGAGTTAGTGTAAGAGTCCATGGAGAGATGGCTGGGTACCCAAGAGGCAGATAGCTCACAGATGGACAACTTCCTGCCTCTAGGGGCTTTCATCCTTAGAGGCTCGCGGCCGTCTCCAGGGCTCTGCTCTTGAGGGCTCAGAGCCTTGGGAGTGTCGGTGCCACCTCCAGCTTGTCCCCAAGGGCAGAGTCCCACCAACTCTGAGGGGTACGGAGGAGGTATGTGAATCCTTCACACTGGAAGGACTGAAAAGAGCGGACCGGCTACACTGCCTCACCCGGAAGTTTCTCTGAGCTGAGATCTCCCGCCCAGACTCCGTGGAAACAGCAGTTGTGTTTGAACAAGATTTCCAGGTGAGTTCTGTGCGTCAGTAGTCTGACAAGGTTCCTTCCTCTTGGTCGTACTCGCAGCCTTTGTTAGGGGCTGCGGCTCACCAGCAGAGGGCGCTGTGAGGAGGGGGCTTCTCGATGCAAGACCTGTACCAAAGCGGCCCCCCTTCCTCCTCCCTTCCAGACCTGCCGTGGGAAGTGTGCCGACTCCCATGCCTCACCTGGACTTTGCCGATAGACAAAGACACTCTCAGCCACCCCTCCTTAGCGTGACCTGGGAGGCAGGACGCTGCCGGGAACTGGCAGGCCACACCTGCCTGGGTTCCCCGCCCAAGGCCACTTGTCTGCTGGCCTGGAGACAGGTCTGGCTGACCTATGTTTCTTAGAAAAGGAACTATTGCTTCTGGATGCGCTAGCGGCCTCTGAGAGCAAGCTGACTTTAAGGTGAGTACCCCAGGGGCGGCTGCAGGGGGGGATGGGCATGGCTAAGAGGCCCAGGGAAGAGCCAGGTCAGTTTAGCTAGTCTGTGCCTCGTGAGGACCCTCTGCATGGGAGAGAGGAGAAAGGGCCCGTGCTGGCTGGTGTCAGGAGCAGGGGGATGATTCCGTGTTTGGTGGAAATGTGTACCGCGTTCACGAATGCTGGCCACAAACTGTGTGTGTGGCCTCATTCATTCTGTTGGTAGTTTTTGCTGTTTTCCTGGTACTGTGGCTTGAACCCAGAAACTCAGGCTTGCAGACAAGTTTGTTTGAGACAGGGTCTCACTATGTAGCTCAGGCTGGCCTGGAGCTCACTACCAGGTTGACCTCACACTCACAGAGATCTGTCTGCCTCTGCCTCCCAGGTGCTGAGATTAAAGGCATGCCCCCGCCCCTGCCCCCTCTCCCCAATGCTGGGTCCTTACTTTTTTAAGACAGACTATTACTGCATTGCCCAGGATGGCTTTGAACTCTCTGCATGCTCAGGACAACTTTGAATTTGTGACCCTCCTCCTTTGGCCTCCTGAGTAGCCGGGGTCCCTGGCTTGTGCCCCTGAGCCTGGTTTATCAGGTGATGTGGTGAGGAGCAGTGAGGTGGTGAGGGTGGAGTGTCTACAGGATCTGCACAGACCTCTGCAGGAGGGGTCTGGATCTTTGTTCTCAGGACGGGTGATGATAGTATTCTAACGTCCCTTGTTTCGGGGAAGTGCTACCCAGAATGCTCTGGCCTTGAGACAGACAAGTTGGAAGAACTGGATTCTGAGGAGCTGGGACTGCAGAACAGTGAATTTGCGGTACTTCAGGCGACTCCCCTAAACTTTGGTTCCTTTCCCTTCTCGGGATCAGAGGTGGGGTGAAGGCCAAGGGAGTCTGGAAGAGTGGTCAGGGGGCCCCAGGCTCGAGCTAGAAGGAGCTGAGCTGCTGCAGGCCGGAGAGATGACCAGGCTCCCTGGAGGCCCAGGGTGCCGTGGGAGTACTCTCTACTGACTGTCTAGGTGGGGCCGCTGGGCAAGGGACCTGGCCCTATGGGGTGGAGGGGGTTTGAACTCTGGTCTTTAGAGGCCCCAAGAAGGCTGTTGCCCTCTCATTTCATTCTGGAACTTTGGCGGGCAGGGCATAAATGCCACTAGCCATGGAGCCCAGAGATGCCTTTATTCCTTTCAACTTCCTCTGGTTCCTCCTCCTCTTCCTTCTCCCCCTTCACCTCTTCCCATTCACCTCTTCTCCTCCCCCCTCTGCCTATTTTCCTTCTTTCCTGTTTTTACTTACTCATTTTTATTTTATGTGTATAGTGTTTTGCCTGAATGTGTGCCTGTGCACCATGATCATGTAGTGCCCACAGAGGCCAGAAGAGGGCATCCGATCATTTGGGACTGGAGTTCAGATGGTTGTAAACCCCATGCAGGTGCAGGACTCAAACTCAGGTCTTCTGAAAGCCAGCGTTCTTAACCACTGAGCCATCTCTAGTCCCTTTCCTTCTTCTCTCTCCCTCCCTCCCTCTCCCATTTCCTTCCCTCTCCCCCCCATTCCTCTCCCCCCTCCTTCTCTCCCTCTCCTCTCCCCCTCCCTCCACTTTTCCTCTCCCTCCCTCTCCCCACCTCTCCCTCCCTCCCTCCCTCCCTCCCTCCCTCCCTCTACCCTCCCTCCCTCTCTTATTTCGAGACAGAGTCTCACTCTCTGTCCCTTAAACTCGCAGCCTTCCTGCCTCAGCCCCCCAAGTTCTGCCATCACAGAGCAGAACTGTCTTACTTCACATTTGCTCCCTTTCCATCCGACGCCATTCTCAACAGAGAGACCTGGGAGCAAAGGGGGAGTGGGGTAAGCCCGAGGGGCAGGGCACCCCGAACTCATCACCTCTGCACATCTTCAGTTCCTACTGAAGAATCCTCCCTCTGTCCCTGCAGCAGGCAGAAAACTCAGCTTCCTTACCTGTGACACGGAGACGCGTGTGAGTCTGACACAAGTCAGGCCGTTACTATTACAGTTTTGAGTAGCTGTAATATTGTTAACAGTGAAAGCGGCAGGTGGGGGGGGGAGCCTCGAGGGGAGCTGGCTTCCTTACCCAGCTCAGCTCCCTTCCTCCGCGGCCTGATTGACAGGGGCCTGCAGTGTCCTGGCTAAAGAAGGTTGTGTTTCAAGATAAAGTGAACAGCATCCCATCTCCTGTGCACAGTTCAGGGAGGACAAAGGGAAACAGGTCCCTCCCCGACCTCCAATGGCGATGATGGTGATGATGATGATGATGAGGACGAGGAGGAGGACGAGGAGGACGAGGAGGACAAGGAGGAGGAGCGTCTGCCTGTCTGGCAGGGGCTGGGAAGGGAGTGAAGTCTTTGAAGGTCTTCAGGAGGGAAAGAAGTGTTGAAGCTTAGCTGCTGCTGATTGCTGAGGAGAAGGGCGATCCTGGGAGCTTTTTCAGTTAGTGCAGAACTCGATGAGGTACGGAGGCTTCCTGAGAAGGAGGACATCACGCCTCAGGAATCCAGCTGTCAAGTGGAGGAGCTGCATTCCCTCGGCAGCTCCTCCAGGGCTGAACAAGACATCTTCGCACTTCTGGAGCCTCCCATGGTGCCTGGCATGCAGCTGGAGATCAGAAAACACTCATTTGAGTGAGAACGCTGTGGGACACATGTAAGGAAGAGCTAGATTGACAGTGGAGAGGCCGTGAGCCAGTCAAGGGCTGAGGCATCACCAGGGCTTCGGGGATCCACAGCCAGGGGCCAGAATGCACAGGGAATGGGGAGCCCGGCCCCACCAGCATGTGTGGGCATTGGGAGTTAGCAGGACGGACTCAAGGAGGAAGTACAAGGGGGTGGAAGCAGATCCAGGGAAAGCTGACATGCATCCTGGAGGTTGCTAGAAGGTTCTGAATTTCTAATGGCTGCCACTGCCAGGTAATCAGGCGAGCCCTCAGAGAGCATGTGCTTTTGGCCTGCCTCCTTTCAGCCTCTCTGTAGGTCCCACTTTTTTCCTCCTCCCCCTTTCCCCCCCTTTTTTTGCTTCCACTTTTAACTTTTGCTGATCATGTTGTACTGGATGTATGCCTGGGAGCTACCTTCGGACTTTTATGGCAGGAGGAGGGGCATAAATAAACACACTTTTGGATAGTGCTTTATCATCTCAGGTGCTTCTCACATGATCTCATGCCGTCCTCATTAAGAAATGCAAAGCCCTAGGACTCAACAACCCCCCCCCCCCACACACACACACACAACCCCCAAGGACCAGGGACATGGCTTGACTGACAGCATGCTTCCCATGTAAGCATGAGACCTGAGTTGGGTCCCCAGGACCCATGTGAAAATGTGGACGTAGTGGCTTGCATTAATAATCTTGGCACTGAGGAGACCGAGATAGGTGGATCCCTGGGTCTCACTGGCCATCCATCCAAGCCTCCTGGGTGAGCACCAAGTCCTAGTGAGAGGCCCTGTCTCAATACACAAAGAAAGAAACAAAACAAAGCAAAACAAACCAGCCCAAACCAAACCAACCAACAAACAAATAAACAAGGTGGGGGCTGGAGAGGTGGCTCAGTGGTTAAGAGCACTTGCTACTCTTCCAGAGGACGGAAGTTTGGTTCCCAGCACCCACGTCAGGCAGCACACCTGCCTTGGACTCTAGCTCCAGGGGAATCGGATGCCTCTGGTTTCTGTGGGAACTGTACTCATGTGCACATACCTACACACACACACACACACACACATACACACACACACACACACACACTCCTTTATGTAATTTAAAATGATAAAAATAAATGTAAAAAAAAAACCAAGGTAGATAGCTCCTGAAGAATGATATCCAAAGCTGACATCAGACTTCCACATGTATGCACACCCACATACACAGACACACACACACACAACTATAAAGTTCATGCAAAGGACATGCTTGCTGTGAAAACTCCAAGTATGCAGAGTCTGCCAGATTCATTCCTGTGTTCTCCAGTTGTGATTTTCAGTGGCGATCACTAGAGCAGGTCAGGATTATATCCTTCCAGACTTCCACTAAGACACGAGTCATCACAGAACTGAGAGTGTGAACTACGGCAAGCCCCAGGCGAGCTGTGCCCTAAGTGCAAAGGGAAATAGGTCACTAAC